CAGGCGCTTCGATTAGCTTGATGGCCGCTCTCCACTAGCTCAGCGGATTGGCTATACAACCTTTACACCATGCAGCCTGACGATTGTGATGGCGGACCAAAGCTCTAGGCAACCCGTAGGGGTATTGGAGTATCTCCTTGTTGAAGTTGGAGGAGTAAAGATTCCCACTGATTTTCTGATTCTCGAGATGGAAAGGGAACCTTAGTATCAACTAATTTTAGGAAGACCATTTCTAGTCTCAGCAGGAGCGGTTATTGACATGAGGATGGGGGTCATGACTCTTGATCTTGTTAGAGGGACGATGATGAAGATCAATATGGCGTATCCGCACCAAAGTACAACGATCAGAATAGAAGAAACCTCGACCTCTTCTCCAACTTGGGTTGAGCTCCAGGAGATCAAGACTCTCAAGAAAGACTTAAGGCGGCTAGTAACCACTATTCAGGGATTAACCGAGGAAATTGTGATGTTGAAGAAGAAGAACGACATCTTGAGTTCTAGGAAAGCAAAGAGGGTATTTACTTTCAAGAAGAGACATGCTGCAAGGAAGAAGTATAGAATACATTGGTCATTAGCATTGGAGAGAATGGTTGAACCTCTCCATTGCACAAACACGTCGTGAGGATTATACCAAGTCAAGCTTAGCGACTATAAACAAGCTCACTTGGGAGGAAGTCCCAAAGGTATCCCTGTACATATTTCTATAAGTTTTTAAAATTTGATGTTCTTTTTAGTTTGATGTGTTTTCAGGTTTGAATGTGAGTGAGGAAAGATGTTTTTGGGCCAATACAAGGGAAGGATGAAGAAAGAGTCCATTTTGGCTTTAAAAGCCCAATGTCACAAGCCCATTCGGTCGAGTCAACGCTCACACGGACGGGTCAAAGCAATTCGATCGAGTCAATCTGAGCCATCCGATCGGGTCCATCTCAGCCGTCTGATCGGGTCAAAAGTAACGGTCGGGTCAATGGTCAGCTCGATTTGAAATTCAAATTTCGAACCAAGCCCGACCAAAAACGCTCCTCTTTCATATTTTTGTCCCCTCTCACCCTCTTTATAACACCCAAACTCGACCAAGACCTCTCTCACTCTCTCATTTTGCTAAAAATTCATTTATCTCTCTAGAATTCTCTCTTCCTTCTCTCTTGGTCCTTAGTTGCTAGAATTTCTGGGTTTGATTTCATTTGCCCCTTTTTCCTCTCATTCTCTGGTTTGTTGATAAACTTGCTTTCGATTCTTCACATTTTCCGGGTTTATTTTCAAGATTGTTATTGGTGTTCTTATTTTCTGGGTTTCTAACCTATTAAATTTGAGTTTTGAGTTTCTCATTCCCAGAAAACAAGAATGTCTTCAAGGATTCCCGAACCCTGAAGGAAGAGCCTCTCAAGATCACAACGATAAGCTCATCACAACCAATCTGCTGAAGAAATTGCAAGAAATTTCTTGACAATCCAAGCCACTGGAACCGGACTCGATCGGGTCAGAAGCGGAAGAAGAGAAGCCCGAGCACGAACCCGATCACCCGATCGGGCCAGTCGATCGGGTCAGACCAGCCCGATTTCCAGAGAAGAAGTTTCGATGGGGAAAAGACCTGTAGAAGAAGATGTTGATCAACCGATGGTGGATATGGAGCCTAGAACGGTAGTGGCTCCAAGGAAAACCAAGAACATGCCCCCTCCAGAAGAGCTTTATGCAATGTTTAAGAAGCAAAAGTTTGTTGGAACTCCCTATCCTCACCGGCAAACGATGAAGGAGCTGGGCATAGCAAGAGATGTTGAGTTTCTGTTCCAGAGAATCGGCCTTGGCTCATTCATGACTAGAACCTTGGAAGCCTACGACGAGGAGACGTGCTACGTGTTGGCTTCACTTCAGCTCCATTTCTACGAGGATGAAACCGATTTCCACTCAGATGACTGCCTTGGATACATCACCTTTAGCGTGAGGGGCGCTACCTATTCTCTCACGTTCAAAGAAGTTGAGAACCTCTATGGGTTCTTGCAAGCAAGCGGGATGAGCCAAGATGTGCTTAAGGAGGAGATCAAGTCTGTTTGGAAGACAATTGGAGATGGGAAGGAGTACACCTCTTCGAAATCTAAGAGCGCCCAAATCTGAAATCCAGCTTTGAGATATTTCCATAAGTCATTGGCTAGTACGAGTTTTGCTAGAAAGGAGATCGGGAATGTGAACGAGAGTGAGATCCAGCTCATAGATATAGCATTGAGTGGTGTACTGCCAAGTACTAGGGATGGTAGAGAACTAGTAGGAGATAGAATGGATGGTAGCATGGTCTTGGTTCTGTTAGACCAACTGATGTACTGCAAGGATTGGGTATTAAAGGCTGTTAGGAGAGGTGTACAAGGAGAGCTCAGTATTGGTGGACTAGTCACCCCGCTATTGGTAGCTTGTGATGTTGAATTACGGGGGAAGGTTTACAACGCTCGCTGGATTGACATTGAGATTTCAACAAGGACGCACTTCCTTGATAGCGAGCGTCCCAACGGGTTTTATCTATATAAGTTCACCCACCCTTCACTTGGAGCAACAAGAATGGTGTTGCCTAACACCGAGCTTACAAAGATCAGATTGGGTGCTAATATCGACTTTTGGCCACCCATCTCAGCGTTATATGACCCGAGCTCAGTCCAAGATCCAGTTCCTAGCTTCGAGCCATCCCAACAAACCTATGCACCTGAAATCAGAGAAGAAGAGCCTGCTAGGGAAGAGCAGGAAGAGGACTTCTATTTTGACGAGTGGGAAGAGTCCTCTAGGCAGTCAAGGGGGGTAAAGGAAGCTCATAAAAAGATTAGCATCCTCCTGAAGTGGAACAAGTTCCAAAGCAAGACTATCAAGGCATTGAAGAACACAGTGAAGGATCTTGCTGGAACAGTTAAGGATATGGGGGAGCAGATCAAGGAGCTTCAGAACAAGGTTGGATGCTCAACCTCCACTACAGCCATGCCTAGTGGTTTGGGGAGGAGTGCATCAGTCAGGACACCTACCAAGTCCAACCTACCATTTAGTCCGCCTAGAGCCTCATTTGACCCGAGGAGGAGTCTGTTCAGAACCAGAAGAGAACCGGGCGCTTACAAGAGCACCTCATCCGAACGCACACCCGATCGGGCCGGCTCTTCACACCCGGTCGGGTCAGCCTATCACCTCGCAGTCGACTCTGAAAATGTCCAAACCGAGCACGTAGCAGCAGGCCTCGACGTCTTGAGCTCGTGGTTTGGACCACCACCCAAGAGGTAATTTTATTACCCTCAACTTTGTAAATACAACCTTGCATTTTTAAAATTTCTTTTTGATCCTAAGTCTTCCTTCAGATTTTTATTACACAAGGGACTGTGTAATTTAAGTTTGGGAGAGAGCTTAGGATAGCATTTGACATGTTTTATATTTTCTTATTTCAAATTTTTAGCATCTAGTCTTGCATTCATCTATGTGCATCAAAAACCCCTAAAAATTTGAAAAATTTTCAGAAAATCCTTTAAAAACAGAGTGTTCATATAGTTGCATTTGCATATTAGTCTTGCTTTAAGGTTGTTGCATTTAGGATCATTGCATTAGCATAGGGGATTATGATGATTATAACCAAAGAACTTGCTGTTTCATTAGATTTAACACCAATGCCCTCGTTCATAGTTTTTTAATGCTTTCATTTGAGCTTGAAATGAGACCGCACCATTCTTTGATCGCATGATTTGACTTCTAGTCTAAACTGAAGCTTGCTTTGATATGATGCCATCCTTTACTTATAAGAACCTTAACTTGAATTGATAATTATCTGGTTGTGATTTGTTTTAAACTCATGGATACCTTGTATACATACTTGGATTTTCTTTCCCTCTTTTTACCACTCTCTTGTTGATCCAAGTAGCTGGTCATAACCTTGATCAGTTAACCACACCCTAAAACCTTAACCTTTCCTTCAAGCCTTTGTTTTAATTCTGAGTAGAAGGCCTATTTTTTGGGATTGAGTTTTAAGAGAATGTGTTAGGTTTGAGCCGACAGGAATAGGGTCTTCAGTAGTTCTGATTTGCATTTTTCGGATCAGATAGGACTAGGATGGATTCTACTTGGGTTTTGGGATTATTTGAGATGGTGAAAAGAAAAGAAAAAAAAAAGGGTAATAAGTTGAGTCTTTAGGAGAGTAAAAGTTTCAGAAAAGTTCAGGGTTCTAGTGAAAGATAAGTGGGGAATGCCAAGTATAGAAAAGAAATGGTTCTGGATTTTAAAAGAAAGAGAGAAAATTATGAAGATAGCAAAATGCTTTGATGTCTTAAATGTTAAGAAGAAAGAGAACCATAATGTTTATAAAGAAAACCCCCTATCCACTAGTTTATCATAAGAAACTCTCCTTAGACTTAGAACAAAATGGGAAATTGGGATGAAAAGAGTTAAAGGGTAGAATAGGATCATATGGGTTTAGATGATTAAGATATCACTTGGGTACGTTGGGTAGTCAAGATGTTATTCCTGTATGCATTAGTTGGTCCTTACCTTTAGCATTCTCCCAAAAGCTCAATCTTGTTCATAGAGAGATCCCAGCACTTAAACGATTAAACCCTCACCAAAAAGAGACTCTCTCTATCTCTTAAACCTTTTACTTGCCTAGCCAAATGAGTTCAAATTCAAATTCACATCCAGATTCACTGTTGCTACTTAATGAATGTTAAAAAGGATAGCTGACTTGATTGCTTGTCTAGGTTATGTGGCTGATGACATCTTGTGTTGAAATAGGAATGGCTAATGTCTTCTGAGTACAGCCTTTGAATTGCATTCTAGAATTACGAACTAGGACATTGATGTTAAACTCTTTTGCAGCAAGTTTTGGTTCTGAGTCACCACCTTTGAATTTGCTTGAGGCCAAGCAAAGAATAAGTTTGGGGGAGTTGATACCCCTATATTTTTATACTCTTAAGCATATGTTTTGTGCATTATTTGCATATCTAGGTCTCTACTTCTTAGAGTTTCTAGTCTCTTTGCATTATATTTCGCATCTAGGATCTTTAGCATAGTATGTTTAGGATCTAGATTGACATTAATGAGCTTGTTCTTTATGCCTATTTATAGTATGTTTCATCAATGAAAGTTGAGATTAGGAAGTGCTATAAATCTGATAATCTTTGCCAAGACATTGGACTGATTAGGTTAAGTGGTTCATTGTCTAGGATTAGATCTATCTGAGCAGGTTAAGCATCCCAAACATACTAAGAGGATTCATCACCCCATTAGCCCATCCTTAAGACCCTTTGTTTATCTGATTGATTCTCTGTTTTCTTTACTGCTTCAAAATTCTGCTTCTTTAGTTTACTTTATTGCTTTTGAGTTTGTTAAACCAACCCCTAACCTGGTTGGCTTGACTTGATTAGATCTGCAATTCATCCATCTAGATTGATACCTCTTATGCTGCAACGCTAAGGGGAATTGAACTCCAAGGGTACAAAAATACATGTTTCATTGATCTTTGATCTTTTATTTGACTAGTTTGAAGTATTAGTATTTTAGACAAAATTACCCTTAATAATCCATCAATTTCACCACACGCCCCCTTCCCCAGAAAAAGCAAACAAGAAAGGAAACAAATATTTTCAATTTTATTCTTAATTAATTTAATTTGTTGATTATCAAAAATAAAGAAATAAATTATTTGTTGACTAAATAAACTTATTTAAATCTGAAGTCAAAGCGCCACATTTCAAATTACCATAAATTAAATACTTATTAAGTGGTAAGAAAAGATTTAGTTTATCTTTACATGTAGGGTTTTTTCCCCCTTTATTTGTTTTTGGTTTGGGTTTAAATATCATTTAGAAAACAAAAAAAATTATTTCCGTCTTCCATCTCTTCTCTTCAACCAGTTTATTCACAAAACATTTCTTTCTCCAAAGGCAAAAGATAATGTGTTAATGTCAATGCCTGTGAGATACGACAAATACCTAATCGAGCAACAATCAGAAAAGTAAACGAGCTAAAAACTTTTATTTAATTTTTTTTTGAAGAGTTTAGCACTGAAGTATTTGAAGCTGGTTTTAACTCTTGTGTGGTTTTATTTTGACATAGTACGTACAAGAGTGAAGAAAAGGATGATGAACAATTCAGAACCCGAGTCTGGTTCGTCTTCATTGACCAACTCTTGTTATGTGTGCTTTGGTATGGCTTCAGAATTAGGTGATGATTTTTTGGTGAGTTTATTCGCATTTTAAAATCTTTGTGCATCTCGTTTCAGATTTGATTGTTGTTTTGTTAGTCCAATTTGGTCTAGGAGAATTAATACTTGTCAAAATTAAACGGATAGCTCAATATGGTTTTGCTTAGGCTTAGGTACTTGTTCTATATGTTATACCTTGAGTTTTGGTTTACATTGACAGTGTTTTACTGAAGCTACCTACCGAATTTTGTTTGGAATATGTTAAATATATGAATCAATTAAACTTAAACCACGAAACTAGAGATTTTAATTTCGGTTGATGGATTTGATTCATATATTATGAGTTTTTCCATATTTGTTAGTCATGGGTTTTTTTTTTTAATTATCAAGTAAAAAACCAACAAAGAGCCACCTCTTTGGTAAGTTGTAAAATAGGCTTGAAGAAGAAGCATTTAAGGACAGAAGAAAGTGTTGAACCAGATAAAATAACACCATCTTAGTTTGATGAGTTTTAGATGAAGGGATCTGAAGCTGGGTTTGACTTGCGTTGTTTTTTTGTTGATATAGTACATATGAGAGGAAAAAAAGTGTGGATGAACATTTCACAACCCGAAGCTGGTTCGTCTTCATTGAACAAGTCTAGTTGTGTGCGCTTTGCTATGGCTTCAGAATCAAAAGACGATTCTCTGGTGAGTTCACTCGCATATGAACTGCTTTGATTATCTTGTTTCTGATCTGGTTTTTTTTTTGTTAGTCTAGATTGGTTTCGGAGTGTTAATACTTGTTGAAACAAAATGGATTAGCTCAATATGGTTTTTTTTTTAGTTTTTTACATATGTTAGGCTTATCTCTTGTATTTGATTGTATTTATAGTTGTATAGAGTGAAAATTGTACAGGAGAAAACCTTGCTTCTATAAACAATTCTTGTATAGCCATCGGAAAATTAGCATTCCAGGTAACACAAATATGATGTTTACTCTTGATGTATGCTTGAACTTTTTGGTTAAGTACAAACTCGTTAATGACAAGAGCTAAATATATATTTCATTATCGTTAGGAAGTTTCATCAATTGTGACCAATTTGTCTCTTCCTTGGGCTGGATTATTCAATATGGCGAAGTAACTCTAGCAGCCTTATAAGTCCAATATTTTACTGGTAATGTCTAGACATGCATGCCGAATAAAACATTCACGACTTGTTACTTAAACAGCAACTTCAAGCATTCGTCAACAATAAACACAATAATGGTGTAAACTTGTATGCTAATTCTCCAATGGCTATACAATCATTGTTTGCAAAAGGAATAATTTCTCCAGTAAAATTTCCACTCAATACAAATCATAAAAACTATCAAATACAATAGCTAATTATATATACATGTTCTATTAGTTTTACCTTAGTTCTGGTTTACGTTGATAGTCATTTATTGAAGCTAGCTATACAAAATTTTGTTTGGAATCTGTTAACTGTAATCTATCAAAATAAAAAATAAGGAAATTAAGAGATGTTGGTTGATGGATTTGTATCATATATTATTGGATTTTCTATTTTTGTTTGTTATGTTTTTAATGAAATTGCAATTGTAATGAAACGTTACTCCAATAATAGTTTTAAGACAATCCGACATAAAATCAATAGTTTCAACCAAATCGATAAAAGTATTTGCGAAATAACATTAACAAAATAAGCAAGATAAAATGAAACTGAAAAAATCTATAATGCTATAATTAAAGATAAATCGGAAACAATGGAGTAGATAATAGAAACGATAATCAACATAAAAAGATATTTCAATATCAACATAGTGGGCCGCAAACAAATTTTGAATTTGATGTTAATATAAGAGATATTTAATTAAACAAATAACCTCAGTTACCTTGTGTATATTGTTTTCTGTTCAAGTATCACCTTAATAATTATTACCTTAATATTTCTACTATTTATAACTATATTATGCATTGGAAAACTCACCACAAGGAAAATTCTAAATTAATCTTATCACAAAAGAAAATGTGATCATATAGTTATCTACCATTAATGAAAGTGCAACTATTTTATAAAACGATTAAGTAAGTTAATCATAGGGGAACCCAACCTCTTTTCCATTTGTATGTTATTAACTGGCTTAGCAAAAGAAAACAACCTCGGATCAAGCTTTCTCTAGCCTAGAACCACCAAGAACCAGCCTCAAAACTCACTAGAATCCCACCAAAATTCACTTGAGAACAATTACAAGCTTTTCCCTCTCTGTGATAGGACAAAAGCGGCGAAACACTCCATAGTCGACTTCTTCTTCTTAAAAAGTTGAGTCCTAGGG